ATTACTTCTCCCTCCCTCCACTTCATTTTGTCCTTCTGAAATTCCCACTTCATGGATTGTAGATTTCTTACTCCATTCTGATGTCCACTTTCTTCTTTTTGTTTTGCATGGGTTAATCTTCTAATGCATTGATGGGCTTTTCAGGAGTGTCTTTTCTGCTATTTATATAGCCTCTGTGAAGTTTTTCCTTTCCACAATCAGTCTAGGTCTCTGATTGGTCTTTTCTCATAGGAGTATACTTGAATGAACTGTCATCTTGAAGCTCACTAGGAAATCAAATTAGACTTTTTTTTTTTTTAATATTTATTTCTGAGAGAGAGACAGACAGACAGACACAGCGTGAGCAGGGGAGGGTCAGAGAGAGAGGGAGACACAGAATCTGAAACAGGCTCCAGGCTCTGAGCTGTCAGCATAGAGCCCGACCTGAGGCTCAGACCCAGGAACCACGAGATCATGACCTGAGCCGAAGTCGGACGCTTAACCGATTGAGCCACCCAGGCGCCCCTCAAATTAGGCTTTTTAAAAAAGCTCTCTCTTCTGAATTAATTCGCTTGGGTCCTTTGTTTGCTTTTCTCAGCTTTGCTCCCTTCTTTCATGCTCCTGATTCTTCACGTATGTCTAATAATGTTAACTGTCCATTTGTATACTTAAGTAAACTCAACAGAAGGCATATTGGAATCCTTAGGGGAGTTTTCTCATAACCTGTGCCATGGGCCCCACCAGAACCAGTGATTTCAGAATGTTCCAGGTGGAGGCAGCATTGGGTATAGTGGTTGAGGTCTTGGGCTGCAGAGTCAGATACAGATCTGTGCTCAAGCCTTGGCTCAACCTCTTGCTAATGCAACAATTTCTAGTTTTCATCAGCTCCTGAGACTGTCCCTTAAGAACACACAGAGGTGGATAAGCAGCCATTGTGGGGAGACCCTTTGACAAGCTGGAGTAGAATGGTGTACTTTCTGAATCATGGAGAGCTCTGCCCATGACACTGACCTCTCTGGCCGAGTCCACTCCGTTCCCCCAAACCCATGCCCACATTCCTGGCTCCTAGGGAGAGCGTCCACCATCTTTGCAATGTGGCATCAGTCTGTCTGCACACTGAAGCTGTTTCAGCATTTGAAATTCGTATGCCTGACCCTTGCCCCATCTTCTGTCCATTTCCCAGCCCTCACTCTTCCCACCCCCTGATTCCTTCATGCTTCAGTTTATCACCTAAGTCATACCTCATGATTATGGTCATACATAGCAGCTTGGAACTACGGACGCTGCAGTTCTCCCACGAAAAGTAGGTCCAACTGTTTATAAATCCTTTTATAATTTTTACTAGTGCATTTGATATATACTCCTCTACCTACACCTCCCCCCACCCCCAGCAGAGTGAAGCAGAAAAGAAGAGCAGACACCAGTTTCCCTCAAACTGAGAATGTAACATGAACCTCTTGATAATAATGACCGCCCGCCTTGCTGCCTCTGTTGGCAGGGGGTGGGGGCACACTTGGCAGAGTCACCTTTACTATTACACCCCTGCCCCCTCCCCAGTGTCATAATGCTTCTCAAATTCTTAAAGATAAAAGAGCTATTTCAGTGTTCCCTCATCTCTCTGGCACTGAAATTATCCTGGGATGCAGCCTAAGACAGAAGAGAGCTCATGTGGTTCCTGGTGGCTTCTAAACCTTCAGGTGGAGGGTCTGTGTGAGCAATACATGGGGAAGGAGGCCTCTGAAAAATAGTAATTTAAAAAAAAACAAAGGATCTTCTCCCTTGTAAAATAACCAGGGGCTCTCAAACGGACAGTGAGACCAGCTGCCATGTTGGGGTTGGGTGGGCTTCAGCCTCCCCTCCTTGGGCCTTCGGTTCATCAGATGGCTGCAACCTCCTTTCTCATTAAAGAGGACATTTATTCAAGTCATCAGCGGGTGATTTCTCTGATGCTTATGATGAAGCATGTTTTGAAAGCCGCCTTCCAGTTGAGATCGTAGACTCCATATAAGCTTGGGAGGATGGGAAATCATGTGCTTTAGGCGTACATTTCATTATAAATAAGTACTGTCTTAACCTGAATATTTCAGCGCATACAGTACCCAATAATAGCTTCTTCCATCCCTGTGACCTAACTGAATGCTATGTAACATCCTTTAGGGGCATCCATGGCACTTTGTAGGATCAAATATGTGTTCAAACCAAGGCCCACAAGCCCTGCGTGATCTCAGGCTGCCTGCCTCCCCATCGTTGGCAGCTTTCACCATACCGGCCCCTTTTCTGTTTTTCAAAAGGCCAACCCTATCCTAGTTCAGCACCCTAAGGACCCTGCTTACAATGTTTCCTTCCCAGTGCCTTGTGTAGGGCTCCTTCTCCATAGATCCCAAATCAGGGTCACCTACTCAGACAGACTTCCTGGACCGCTCCAGCTAAAACTGCCATCCCAACCCTCATCTCCACAGCTTTGCTTCCTCACGTAGTCCTGTTCATTTCTTTCACAATACTTGTCTGCCTCTCTAGTAGGATGTAAGACCCGTGGTAGCAAGGACCTTTCCTGTCTTAATAGCTGTGTCCTCAGCACCTAGAACAGTGCTTTGTATATGGTAGGTGCTCGAATATTTTTTTCATGAATGAATGAATGAATGAAAGAACCCTCACAACATAGAAGATCTGATTTCTAGAAGATCTAGATGATGATATTTTAATCCATTTATGGATGAGGCTCAGAAGTGTTGAGAAAATTATTCCAACTTGTATAGAGCTGATGATTCAGACTCAGGTCTTATGGGTATTCTGATTCCAAAAAACCAACTTATGTGCATAAAGCCAGCACCTCTGCTAGCAACGAGCTCCTGACTGCCGAGTTTGGTGTTCTTTCCCCACAAGTTATCCTGCTGTAGTAGCTCATGAATACAAGGAGGAGTGGGGAATTGGTCCTTTTTATCCTTTGATAGTTAATTCTCTCCCCTAAACCAAGGGGTAGGTCTAAATTTGATACATTGTGTTGGGAGCATTTGAACCCAGAATAGGAGCCACCCTGTGGCTGGTCTATTCTTGGTCTCGTGTGAGTTTGGGGAGGAAAAGGCAAGTCACAATTCAAAAGAATTATTGCTGTTCTGAGGCCCAAAGGAAAGGATGTCCTGCAAGAGGAAGTGGAGGTGGAGGGTGGGGTGCAGGGGGAAGCATCCTTTCCCCAAGGTAGAGCTTTGAGCAGAAAGCCACAGAAGTTCTCCCCTCACCCTACATGGCTTAGGACAGGGACCTGCAGGAAGCGTCTGGAGCTGAATGCTCTTCTTCAGGGAAGAATCAGGACCAAGTAAGCCGTCTTCACTCAGCTTCCGGTCAGAAGTGGAAAGTGCCAAGAGAATGCTGGTCTCATAGCACCCTCTTGTGGGTGTGAGGTGTCACTGCAGCCTCCTTCCAAAGCCTGAGGGCAAAGGTTTGCGTCTACACAACAGTTCGTAAGCACAGCCCTTTGATCATCTAGGCCCCACCCTGGGGGAAGCTCCTCCTGCAGTGTCTCCTCTTTCCGAAGCCAGCAGTCCACTCTCCAAGCTCAGAAAGGGAAATCCTTTCATTTGGTCCCTAGTGAACCGTAAGATGAAGTTGTGATACAGAACTCAAAGTCCATCTGGAGATCTGGGAGACCGAGAACACAATGAGATTTGTTCAGGGGCCTTCAGACAAACACTAGGCCCCTGTCATAAGTCTAGGAGGTCATCTTGCAGGGCGGATTCACAGGCATTGACTCCGTGGTGCTCTGAGCCATTCACCTCCTTTCCTGTAACAGGCATTCCAGCATTTATGTGGCCTTACGCAAAGTGCCAATTCTGTCAGTGTCCTGCCCATACGAATGTATGAAATCAGACCTATTCCTGTCTTGCAGGCCTGTTGTGAGGACGAAGAATTTGTGAATAAATTACCTACCACAGTGCCTTGTACACTAGATATTCAATAAAAAGTAGCTACTTTGTTTTAATTGATTTTTGAGAGAGAGAGCAGGGGAGGGGCAGAGGGAGGGAGGGAGAGAGAGAATCTCAAGCAGGCTCTGCACTGTCAACGTGAAGCCTGATGCAGGGCTCGAACCCATAAATTGTGAGATCATGACCTGAGCTGAGATCAAGAGTCAGTCGCTTAACTGACGGAGCCACTCAGGTGCCCCCAAAAGCAGCTACTTTTTTTTTTTTTCTAATTTTTTTTTAATGTTTTATTTATTTCTAGGGGAGAGAGAGAGAGAGACAGCGTGAGCAGGGGAGGGTCAGAGAGAGAGAGGGAGTCACAGACTGAAACAGGCTCCAGGCTCTGAGCTGGCAGTCAGCACAGAGCCTGACGCGGGGCTCGAACCCACGAACCGCGAGATCATGACCTAAGCGAAAGTCGGACGCTTAACCGACTAAGCCACCCAGGCGCCCCAAAAGCAGCTACTTTTTACATGTTATTTTAATAGCTCTTTTGTTCTCTGCCCACATCCGCCTTCCTGTTCCCTTCCAGCCCTCCTCACTCACACGTGATATTTATTCACTCACTGTCGTTCTCTCCTCTCCCAGACGCATTTGCCGTCCCTCCATTCTCAATCTCTCCATTCCTTCCACAACTCTCTGAGGGAGCTCATGGGCCTGGCTTCCCAGGAGCACATTTGCTGGCCATGAATAACTCTGGATGTTGTCCTATAGCCTCTGTGCCTTTTAATCCACGGTCTGTGGCTTCCCAGAAAATAGAAGCCACTCGGCCTGCCTGTCTGAGGGAGGGCATGTTGAAAGAGTGTGTGTGTGCCCTGTCTCCCGTGGCGGTAAGTTCCCAGGGGCCTAACATGTGGCGCAGCTTAGCCATGGTAAACATTCAGCCTGGCATTCGGTGCTACAGCAAGAGAAGCGGAGCAGAGATCTGAGCTGCCAGGGGACAGCTGCAGGCCTGATGGTGGGACCAGGTGACGGTGTCGTGTGTGGGAATCTTGCCTCCCTGAGTTCAGAGAGTGTCCCTGTGGGCAGCCACTGACTGACCCAGCTGTTTCTTTCATGCTGCAGACTCACTCCGGATACTTCTCCAGCTTGTACCCCCCTCACCAGTTCGGGCCGTTCCCGCATCACCACTCTGTAAGTGCCCCTCGGTTCAGCCCCATTGACCACTTTTCCCTCTCCTGTGGCAGACACGGCATAGGCCATGGCAGTCTGACCAGTGAATGCCCTCGGCATGAGTGCTGTGTCCTGCGTGTGCAGGGCTTCCTGCGAGTGACACATCACAGGCGTGAGCACACCAAACGACCCCAGCAGTCAAGCGTGCCAGTGGTTCTTCTGAGCGCTCGTGCTGCCCTGCTTACAAATCCATAGGTGGCAGGAAATGGGTACATACCGATGATCAAGAGAGAACATTAGGAGATGGTGTTGAGCTAAAGAACAGCATTTCTGAAGGCCTTTGAACAAAGTCTGGCCAGTGGGGGTCCCGGCATTCCCACAGACCCCTGTAGGGAGGACCACTGGTCTCCTTGGGTTGTCACCATGTGGCCTAGTCATGTAGGTTTACTTGTTCTCTTCTTTTGAATCTGATGCAACTCTGGTGAAAATACCAGTCGTGGCTACAAGGTGCAGAGTTGTTTCCCGTTCCTTCTAACAAAGTGCCTCAGGACCCTGTCCTCGGGCCAGGTATATTTAGTAACAGTATTGGTTTCTTGGATAAAGACCCAGGAGAGAGCAGTACCGATCACATTTGCATATGACAAAGCCTGTGAACAGTTTTTTGAATCCAGCACGTTCAGAGCTGCTCTAGAGGAGTTCGCATTTCAATTGTCATGTAGTGCTGCCTGTGCCCAGGCTCGCTCCTTAGGCTTCACACCTGCAGAGCCCTGGGCCACAGGAGAATCCAGGCACCGTTTCAACCGTTCCCTTGGGTATTGTGGCCACCGCAGAGCATGGCCCGTGGTAGATGCTCGGTACCTGCTGAGTGCCTGACGGAACACCTTCAGCGGGAGTGATGTCTTGTCTTGTGCTGCCCTTCCAGTATCCAGAGCAGGAGATTGTGAATCTCTTCATCCCAACCCAGGCTGTCGGTGCCATCATCGGGAAGAAAGGGGCGCACATTAAACAGCTGGCTCGATTCGCTGGGGCCTCCATCAAGGTAAAGCTGCCCTCAACAGCCACCTGTTTCCCCCCCTCTTCCGTCACCAGCCCCCACCCCATGTGCCTTGTCCCTTCTGCTAGTCCTGGGCAGCGCTGACTCCTTCCGGGGACAGACTCACAGGATCTGGCAAATTGGCCTCCGAGATTAATCCCATCTGCTCTCATCTTTACCTCTCTCATTCCTTTCTTACTCAACTAACAACTGAATTAGAAAAATTACTAGTAACAGACAAGCCAACCCACTCCTGTTTGGGCTACCATAGTCTTCTTTTCAAGAAGATAAAGCAAAAAAAAAAAAAAAGAGAGAGAGAGAGAGAAAGAAAAAGGCTGAGTGTTTTTCTAAACCCCTGAGCTAAAGGGGCAGACTTCAGCAGAGGTCATTTTCACTTCACTGTTATCAGTGCTTTGAGGCTTTCATTAGTTCTCTGCTTCACAAATCCTCCAGAAAGTAGTTTGGATGAGAAACTTTTTGGAAAGTTATAAAATCGTAGGTAAACAAAAGCTGGTGTCACAGCCGGATAGGCAGTCCTGGGACTGCACAGAGCGGCTCAGGAAGGAAGGCCCCTTGATTTATGGAAATGGTAGCGAGTGCAGTTACAGACCCACATCCTGCTCCCGCGGAGCGCGATGTGAAGAAGCATCCGAGAAGCTGAAAGGGAAGGATTATTCGACCCTGGTCCTGCTCCAAGCCCAGCTATCGGCTCTGACTCACAAGCAGAATGCTGAGCACGTCCCAAGCCTCATGAAACACTTTTGAAAACAGAGTTTCCGTTGTTACGTAAAATAATTTGCTACCATGGGACAACCCGGAATTCCGAGCGAGAAGTCTCATGACTTGGAGAGAAAGAATGCTTGCGCCTTCTCCCCAAGAAGAGCTGGAATTTCTCCCACAGCAAGTGTGTTGGAGAAAAAGCAAAAACAGAACATTTTGTGTAGTGCAGCCCAAGGATTGCAGGAAGACCATCACAGAATATTATTTAGGTAAATCATTTCCCGTCTGGGGCCTCAGCTCTATCACCTGCAAGGCGCAGAGACAGGGTGGGAGCCCTGAGGTGCGGGCGGACTGCAGCACAGCACCCAGGGGGTCCGTGGCTCCCAGCAGGCTCCTTGCGGCTGAGACCCCAGCCTACCTGCCGGCGGCCATGGACAGGTAGTGTGGAGGACCACTGGGCCGGCCGTGCCACTCGCTCCGCACTCACTGTTGCCCATAAGGAACCAGGGCCCAGAGGGTTTCATTGAGTGTTGAAGGCCACAAACGTAAAGAATACAAGAGCCAACATTTGACCAGGTGATCCAGTCTCTGGTCCATTGGGTTGTTTTGTTTTTTTTCCACCACAGCACCCTGAGTGCTATGCCAGAGTCACTCCCAGCGGCCGTCAGGACAATATCAGAGAGGGCAATCCCTTGGGCTCCAGCCCACAGCTTCCCCACCATCCTTCTGTGGCCCAGCAAGGTTGAACAGTGGTATGTCACCTGGCTCTGGCCTCTGATGGGCAGACACAGGGGGCAGGACCAGGGCAACAGAATGGGCTCTGCAGGCTGGCAGTGCCCCGTCATCCTTTACGCTGCACACAGCCTCCTGCTTCTTCAGCCGCCGCCCTCTTTCCCGGCGCCTGCCTCTCTCCATAGCAGAGTAAAGGAGAGAAAACCATGGAAGTCAAGTATTGGTGACAGAAATTTCCTACTTTAAAAAATCAGTCCCGTCTTTGTTATTTTCAGCAGGACTCTGAAAGCATTTTCTCTAAAGCAAAGTAGATAATCTCACTGTCTTCAGGGACCACAGCTAGAGGCACGTTAGATGCTGCCAGGGCAGGGAGAGAGCTGCACACTCATGTGGGGGAGCTGAGCGCTGGCAGGGGCTGGGCTGAGGTGAGGTCGGGAAGGCACGCCCTAAGATGCTTTGGTTACAGACGAGAGCTGGGCTCCCTGCAGAGCATCCAGCAGGCATTGGGATGCCAGCCAAAACTCCCGGGCTGTCCTCCAGCCCCCGCTCCCCCTGGGCTCGCCCTGGGATCTCGGCAGTCACCTCACCTCTGGGTTCCCCTTCCTGGTACTGTCAAGGGAGTTTGCTGGCGGACTAGCATTCCCAAACTGCAGGAGCACACGAGTAGCTCTTGGACTGCTGGTGGGCTGGTGAATGTGAGTCAGTCAGGAGATGGGGTGTCGGTTTCAGAAGCTGAACAAGGCAGCCCGGAGTCACTAGGAGGTGGACAGCGCCTCCAGAACTGATTTGGGTGGGTGAGGGCTGGAAACACGTGGGTGCTCCAGGCTCCCTTGTGTACTCTTTGGGAGAAGGACCAGACGCAATGTGTTCTGGGGATCTACAAGCAGAGGCAGGGGTTTTCCCACCAAGGATCTCGAGGGCGTGGCCTGCCAAAAGGTCCCCGTCCGCTAGGACCACTGCGATCCATCTTGGCTTTTAGGCTGAGGCTGCTGCCCTGCAGTTGAAGGCTGGCGAGTAATCTGCCCACACAAAGAGAAGTCATCCCAAATGCTCAGGGCTTGGTGGCCTGTGTGTCACATTCGTTCCTGTGCCAGAGGATCAGGGCCAGAGCCCTTTCTGAAGGTCCTGGGGGCGGGGGGGGGGGGGGTTATAGTGAGGAGGTTCTGGGTGTGTCCTGACTATAAAGCTGCGGCAGCGACACAGAACTGTGAAGCCCCTAAACAAAATTAACCCCCGTGGGGGTCGAGGTCTTCCAGGGGGGATGCCCAGAATTGAGGCACAGCAGTTAGCGGTGAATTACATTCACCATGAACATCACCTTCTCGAGGCTCGGTCTCAGATTGGTGTGTCTCCTGAGCCACTGGCTGTTTTTTCCCCCTTTAGGAACACCGTGACCTTATAACTGAGGTTTCTGTTTATATTTTTGCTCTTGGCTTAAAAACTGAGTCTGGCTCACCTCAGGCAGGTGTATAGGACCTTATGAAATACATTTGGGTACTAACCCCGTTCCTGGTTCATTCGCAAATGGTGTACTCTTTACTCATTTTACTTTAAATTAACTTTAGTTTTGCTACACTGTTTTTTATTTTAAAACTATCTTAATGATTTTCAGAGTAAGGCAGGGTATGCAGAAAGGAATATAAAGTGAGTCTAACAATGCCAACAACCAAAAAAACATGCTTGCTTGGTGGGTCATTTGAGTTGTTACAAGAGAACTCACACACCCAAATCTAGCAGATAGACTCACAAACAGAAGGCAGCATTGAGCTTGCCGGATTTTACCTCCAAATGTCACAGATGAGGACGTGGAGGCCGAGGAGGGGAGGGATTGGCAGAGCAGACACTGGGACCAGGCTGACCTCATCCCTGCCCTGGTGCTGTCACGCTCGCTTCCTGTGCCACAGAGGAGCTGGTCTGGGCCACTCAGGCCTTAGCGCAACTCTCCCTTGCAGCCGATTGCCTCTGTGAGCTGAGAATTAGAACCGGGGCGCCTTTCCTGCAAGCTGGCTCCATATTAGTGCCTCTTTGGACTAGCCCTTACCCGCTCTGGGCCCTGGGTGGGCTGGCTGAGCCTACACCTCCCTCTTCGTCCCAGAGCTCTTGACTCCCTTGGCTCGGTAAAAGGAAGCCAGTCATTGCCAGCGCTCAGGCAGGAACAGGCAGGAGCTCCTGGTACTGGTTAGTCAAAGACCCAAATCTGATACTAGGCACTGTGGTGGTAACTTCCTAAGCCCCAGAGTGGAAAGCAACAGGTGCAAAGGCAGAAACCACACCGTAATCTCTTGCTAGTGTGTGTGCACCATGCACCAGACAAGAAAGGGGACTGGGGACCACAGCCCCACAGTAGCGTTTTCCTCTTGCCTTGTAAACTGCAGATTGCCCCAGCGGAAGGCCCAGATGTCAGCGAAAGGATGGTCATCATCACCGGCCCACCTGAAGCCCAGTTCAAGGTCAGTCCCAGAGGCCACCTCAGCCCTGCAGGAGCTGGTGGCAGCCACCTCAGAGGCATGTCCAAGACTTCTTGGGAGGCCCCACCTCCATTTCCCTTCCTGCTGCTGCTCACTAGTCTCAGACTCACGCTGTCTTGCCTCCCTCCAGGCTGTTCCGTGGAGCTCTGCTTGGAGCACTCCTTCCCTTCTCTCATGGAAATGTAGATTGTCAGTGCCTACTTCAGATGGCACTCCTCTGGGCTATCGCTGACCCCTTAGTCATGGCTTTGAGGATAAGTGTCTCAGACTCCTTTAGTCTTTTATACCCTTCAGACTATGGGGGCATAACCATGGGATAGAAGAGGAAAGAGCAGTAGCTTGTTGGAAGTTGTTTGGTGGGGTGCATTTGTTTTTGTCTTTTTTTCCCTCTAGGAAAATTATAAATTGAGTTTTCTAAAAGAAGCATATATATAAAAGTATAGTCCTTATCATTAAAAATACTTAAAATTTGAGAGAACATTAACATACCTGGAAACGTTTCAGAACAATAACCCCTCAGCTCATGAGTGGATAAACAAAATGTGATCTATGCACTCAGGACATTAGTCAACCATAAAAAGGAGCAAAATTGTGATGCATGCTACAGCGTGGATGAACCTAGAAAACAGTGCATGAAGTGAAAGCAGACACACACAAAAGGCTGCATATTATATGGGTCCATTTATATGAAATGTCCAGCAAAGGTAAATCCATAGAGACAGAAAGTAAGGGCTGGGGAAGGGACGAACGGGGATTGCCTGCTCGGTATGGCGTTTTTCTCTGGGGGACTGGGAGACAGGTGTCCTCAATAGTGGTGACGGCAGCCTAAGGAGGTGAATACACCAAAACCTATTGGAGTGTACACTTTAAAATGGTGGATTTTAGGCTCTATAAATTATATCTCAATTTTTATAGTTTTTTTTGTTTTATTTTTTAAACCAGAACCTCTAGCTGCACTGGCTGGAGTTAAGACATCAGAAAGCAGCCCCAGTCACTCCATCCTTTTGTATCCCGGGGTCTAAATAAACCATGGTGGGAGGAAGTTAAGGATCCCCTGGACAGATTCGTTCAGCCAGGCGTCTGTAGATGCTGGGGATGAGGGAATAAGACCCAGTTCTGCCCCCTCACCACCTCCCCCAGCCCCACACACAAAGCTTCTAAAGGCAGGGTCAGGGACATTCCTCGAGTGTGGCAGGGAAGCAGGGTACACAGCACCCCCCCCGTCCCGTCCCCCTGCCCCGTGCGGCCCTGGTGAATTGGGGCTGGGGGTGTGCAGGCCTGGGCTCACTGGTTCTGATAGCAGCACAGCAAAGTAGGCCAACGGGCATCTGAGAGTCACCAGTCACACCTTGCTCTGTCAGGCCCAGGGGCGGATCTTTGGGAAACTGAAGGAAGAAAACTTCTTTAACCCCAAAGAAGAGGTGAAGCTGGAAGCCCACATCAGAGTGCCCTCTTCTACAGCTGGCCGGGTGATTGGAAAGGGCGGCAAAACCGTAAGTTTGCTCTGAGCTGGCTTCATCTTCTGGGCTGATCCCCTCCCAGAGGCCTGATTGCCCTCAGACCCCCATTGGCTCTTGAAGGACATTCTTCCAGGGCTGAAGCCCCAAATCCGTGGTACTGAGCCAGGCCACCGAAAACACCAGGGTCCTGTGCCTAGAAATACAGCATCTCATCCACATGCTGGAAAATGAAGGTCCTCCCCGAAGAGGAGGCTGCCTCCTGCCCCCTTTAAATCCACATAGAGCAGCAGGAAAATACTAGGGAATAGAGCCCCACCCAGTGGATACCTACTTAGCAGACTGTCATCTTCTCTAAATTCACACTAAGAGGCCTGCAGGGTCTGGTGTCCTACACTCTCCTCTTACTTTTCATACTCTCCCTCCTGCAGATTCTGTCTTCTGGCTCTTTCCCAAACCTGCCCATCTGTTACAAGGGAGCTGGGTTAGCAACCGGGTGGTGGGGGAAAAAGGAAACACTTAAAAAAAAAAAAAAAAAGTGAAGGTTTTCAACATGAAGGTGGCAGCAACACAGAATGCCAGAGAATCCATTCTAAAGCCTGTAGGAATGAGCAGATAGTCTGTCAGACACAGAAGTGATCTAGAACATGACTTACTGGCGGGATATGACCCGGGAAGCCTGTGCACACTAGCAAGGTGACAGTGGTGGGTGGCAGGAATTTGAGGGATCTCTAGTTGTGTGTGCACATGCACACACCTGCTATTTTCTTTACACAGAGAGTCTTACTGAGGACTCAAAGCCAAGTTCTAGATACAGTGAGTCATCTCTACACAAAAGAATAAAGTTGAATAGCTTGTGGATTACTCCCCACATCCAGGAATGTGACCAGTATCAGAGGCCAGTTAGAAGGCACCAGGCAAAAGAGAGCAATAGCCCTTGGGGAATTAGACTCCCGAGCTCTTTGATCTCCTATTTGGTCATTTTAGAACCCATCACTGAATTCTGTGCCTCCCCCGACCCCCAGAGACTGTCGGCCATCCACTGGGCCTCACCAACCCCACCTGTGTGTTCAGCAGCCTGCCAGGGCCTGGGGTGAACCCCGGGGCAGTGTAGGCTTCTTGAGCACAGAGTGCAGGAGGTGGGCGCTGGGTGAGGGAGAGCAGCCTGGGCTGGCTGCTTTCTGCAGGTCACCAGCTCGGAACTGCAGTGGCTAGGAGGAAAGGTAACAGCCTAGCGGCTGAAGCAGCATACGTAGGACTCAGAGGCAGGGATGAAAATGAAGAGCAGGCATCAGCACAAGGCCTGATTAGAAAGGAAAGTTTCCTTTGATGAGCCTGAGAGAGGTGATGTCAGCTTGTGGCTGGTACCCAGACAGCACGCCCCGTGGTGATTTTCATTCCTTGGTGATGGGAGAGCCTGGGTCACCGCGAGCATGTGCAGGAACCGCACCGCAGGGACTCCAGAATCAGAATTCAGCCCCAAAAGAAGCTCCAGGGAGTCTGAGACTGGACCTTCCCAGGGCCTCCCATTGAGTCTCCCAGGGCTCAAACCAGTGTGGCCCCGTGTGACCAGGGGCTGGGAAGCCCCCAGACGTGTCCTAGACTGAAGGAAAGGAGAGTAGCCTCTAGCCACCTTGCCCTGCAGCACCCCCTCTCCCACTGCCTCCTGACCCCACGTTGCTCCCTTCACAGGTGAACGAACTGCAGAACTTAACCAGTGCAGAAGTCATCGTGCCTCGTGACCAAACGCCGGATGAAAATGAGGAAGTGATCGTCAGAATTATCGGGCATTTCTTTGCTAGCCAGGTACCTGTGCTGTGAGGGTCTGGTGCCTCCTGCCAGTCTCTCTCCGTTCTGAGCTGCTGGAGGCCTGTCAGGTTGGCCATGCCCTGCACACACTCCCCACCCCCTCACCCCCCACGCACAGATGGAAGCTCTTCCTGGCTCTTGGGGGACTGCCTACAGGACAGGGGAAGTGGCTCCCCACCTTCTCACCCCTGCTCTCCCCCAGGCACTCCAGGGGAGCTTGAGGAAGAGCCTAGCACTTCGAAGTCAAGCCAAGCACATCTCAAGCCCCCTGAAATGCTAAAGCATAAGGTCTCCCTTTCCTTTGCTGCCTCCTCAGACATCAGTCATCGTGTTCCCCTGGTGGCAACCACATTCCAGGCAAGGACCCCGCCTCGGGGTACCCCAGTCAGGCTTTGAGAACCAGCATGGGTGCCACAGTTCCACTGTTATGAGTTAAACATGGTCATTGCAGGAGACCTTCGTTTCTCTGCTGTCCTTCCCCATCTCACCATGACATCCCCCATCAGGACACAGGGCCACGTCTCTCTCATTCAGAAGGACCACTGACTCGGCATCATGTAGCCTGGTTCTTTCTGATGCTTTTTATTTATTTATTTATTTATTTATTTATTTATTTATTTATTTATTTATTTTAAGAGAAGAGCTAGAATGTGTGTGTGCATGTGTGGAGGAGGGGGCAGAGATGGGTGGAGAGAGAATCCCAAGCAGGCTCCACAAGGGCTTGAACTCATGAACCAAGAGATCATGACCTGAGCTGAAAGCCAGAGTCGGATGCTTAAGTGAGTGAGCCACCCAGGCGCCCCTCTTTCTGATGCTTTTTGTCGCTTGGGTGTGGGGATAGGGCAATCCCAGTCCTTGCCCTAAACCAGTGAGGGTGATCTAAGCTTACACCAAAGCTTTGGCTGAGTGCTCAGCTTGCTTTCCCAGAGCCGTGCCAGGAGACCTGTCTGTGTGGGCAAGGCCCTTGCACGTGGCTGCTCTCCCGTGCCCCTTCCTAGGGCCAGAGCCCCGGCCACATGACCCCTCCGGTGCCCTGGGAATGTGTGAGAACTGCCAGGTTCTCACAGGTGTGCAGCCTCAGAGCTCTCCCTGCACTAGAGTCCAACGGGGGTGGGGTGAGGGGCCAGGTTTGGGCTCACATGTTTTCTCTAGTTGTGCAGGGTAGAGTGTGTGGGCCAGTTTGTCACAGCCTGCCCATTCCCATTTCTTGTCTGTCTCTCCTGGCATCACACTCATGTTCTTCCTAGGGACTCCAGAAAGGTGGGTGTGGCAGCCCTAACGGCTACCACGTGTGTAGTGGGAGGGGGACTGCTGTCTGACCTCCACAAGGCCCCCTCCTCACTGGTTCCCTGGCTCTGCTTCCTGGCTTATCTATCCATCAACCACCTGGAAGCTTCTGGGTTCCCACCTCCTTATCCTGCACCCAGCTGCCTCGTAGTAGGGGTGGGGGGGGGGCCGTGCCACTTTAGGCAGAAAAGGCCCCCGGAGTGAGGGCCTCAGCAAGTAGACAGTTTTCTGAGCTTCCCACGCCTTTCCCCAAGTCCCAGCCCCACCCACCCGCCCCCACTGCTTGTCCTCAGAACCGGGTTCCTTTTTCTCCCCTGTCCCCTCCTCTCCCTCGCTGCAGACTGCACAGCGCAAGATCAGGGAAATTGTACAACAGGTGAAGCAGCAGGAGCAGAAATATCCTCAGGGAGTCGCCTCACAGCGCAGCAAGTGAGGCTCCCACAGGCACCAGCAAAACAACGGATGAATGTAGCCCTTCCAACACCTGACAGAATGAGACCAAACACAGCCAGCCAGCTCGGGAGCAAACCAAAGACCATCCTGAGGAATGAGAAGTCTGCGGAGGCGCCGGGGACTCTGCAGAGGCCCTGAGAACCCCGGGGCCAGGAGGTGGGGGGGCGGGGGTCAGACCGGGCCCCTGCCCGGCCTCCTGCCTCCCCCAGGGCCTCTGCAGGCTCCCCAGCCATCCACTGCACCGTCACTCGGATCTCTCCCTCCCTCCTCCCACGCTATCCCTTTTAGTTGAACTAACATAGGTGAACGTGCTCAAAGCAAAGCAAAATTCACACCCTTTTCTTTTTGTGGAAATTGTCTCTGTACATGTGTGTACATATTAGAAGGGAAAAGATGTTAAGATATGTGGCCTGTGGGTGACACAGGGTGCCTGCAGCGTTAATATATTTTAGAAATAATATATCAAATAACTCCACTAACTCCAAGTTTTAATCAACTATTAATTTTTTTTCTTTTTAAAGAGAAAGCAGGCTTTTCTAGACTTTAAAGAATCAAGTCGTTCTTTGGGAGGTCTAATGGTTTAGAGTAAGGAGCTTCGAGACCACCCACACAAATTCACCCGAGGGGACTCGGAAGGACACTCACAGCAGTTCTGGACCACCTGTGTACGTCAACAGAAGGGATACCGTCTCTCTGAAGAGGAAACTCTGTCTCTCTTCATCCCTGTCTAGCTCACGCACCCATTTCTCTTTGCTTCACAGGTTTTAAACTGGTTTTTTGCATACTGCTATATAATTCTGTCTCTCTCTGTTTATCTCTCCCCTGCCTTCTCTCCCTCCCCTTCTTCTCCATCCCCATTCTTTTTAATTCCCTCATCCCTCTTTCTCAATTCCCAGTATCTACGCACCCCCCAGGCAAAGCAGTGCTCTGAGTATCACATCACACAAAAGGAACAAAAGCGAAACACACAAACCAGCCTCAACTTACACTTGGTTACTCAAAAGAACAAGAGTCAATGGTACTTGTCCTAGCATTTTGGAAGAAGAAAACAGGAACCCATCAAACCAACCAACCAAACAAAGAAAAATTCCACAAAGAAAGAATGTATTTTGTCTTTTTACATTTTGGTGTATAAGCCATCAATATTCAGCGAAATGATTTCTTTCTTTTTAAAAAAAAAAAAAAAAAAAAGTGGAGGAAAATAGCAATTTACACGAGGTCGTTGGCCCAGGGCGTTAAATTTACAGATTTTTTTAAAGGAGAAAAACACACAAAAAAAGCTACCTCAGGTGTTTTTTACCTCAGCACCTTGCTCTTGTGTTTCCCTTAGAGATTTTGTAAAACTGATAGTTGGAGCATTTTTTTATTTTTTTAATAAAAATGAGTTGGAAAAAACTAAGATATCAACTGCCAGCCTGGAGAAGGTGACAGTCCAAGTGTGCAACAACTGTTCTGAATTGTCTTCCGCTAGCCAAGAACCTATATGGCCTTCTTTTGGACAAACCTTGAAAATGTTTATTAAAAAAAAAAGAAAGAAAAAAAAAACAGAGAGAGAAAATATTGGAGATGTCCTGAATTTCAATAGGGTACGCGCCATTAGGGCTTTTTGCGCTAAAGGATGAACATGTACTGGTTTATGTGAACAAGCCATTTTACCACCAGACTGCAATGCCAGTTTCCTCTACTGCAAACAGTGTTCTGTGACAAAAACAAAAACAAACAAAAAAAAATGAAATATATCCAGCTAACAAGATCCTGGTGTCTTGGTCTCTTATTTTACTAAGCATTGCCTGTCCTGAGGTGTCAGCAGAATTCCAGCTCTGAAGGACTTAGGGAAATGGGCAGCCACTGAGGAGGCAGGCTTCTCCAGGACGTTTTCTGGAAGAAGCTAAACTAAGTCAGAGGTGCTCAAAGTGTGGCCCCCAACTGGCAGCATCAGTATCACCTGGGAACTTGTTGGAAATGCAGATTCTTGGGGTCCACCCTGAATCAGGAATTCTGAGGGGCCCCTCAGTTTGTTTCAGCAAGCCCTCTGGGTGATTCCTGTGTGTGCTGGAGGTTGACAGCCACGGAACCGGAGGGACGGACGGGCTGCATGTCAAGGTAGGTGAGACCGGCCCCTAGCTTTAGGGAACTGTAAGCCTAGCCAGGAAAGAGTTGAATTTTATGTGGGGAAGTGTGAGGGCATAATATGGCTGACAGCTTAAGGGATGGAGGTAGTCGTCCCTCCCCAGAAGCCCAGATTGTAAGTATTCCAAAGTATTCCAGGGGGCAGACACAGGCAGGGCAGCCTTAGACTCGGGGGGCGGGGGGGGTCGCGTGCGGTACTGGACACTCCCACAAATGTGTTGTGAAAAGGTTGGATGAGAATGGAAGCCCGCGCAACCTGAGGAACTGAGGTGAAACCTGCCAGAGGTGGTCAGTCAGGCTTTTGGGGGTACTTGTTCAGGGCACAGCAAGGACAGATGCAGGGGAGCTGATGGGCTTGCAGAATAGCCACACCCCCCTTCTAACAAACTCGGAAGGCTCTCGAATCACTTAAAATTTGTCCCTCACTGATGTTCTTTCTGTCCCCATTCCTCATTTTCTCATCATTCCAACTTCTGTGATGCTGTTTGTGCTTTTAAGGTTTCCAGCACTTCAATGCCAGCTGATCCTCTCTCTGCTGCGGCTGGTGTGCATATGGGCAGGACAGACTGTCCAGCCCTGGGGCTCCCCCTTCCCTTTCGGACTCCAGCCCACTGCCCTCTTGGAGAAATCAACCACAGGTTGACAGTCTGAGAGAAGCCACAGGGCTATTTCTGAAAGCTGTGTCCTGGGTTGAGGGGTTCCTTGTTAGGATGAACAGAGAAAGGGCTTTAAATATAGGCTCATGGGCCTGGTAACTAATCTGTCAAGATGAGAAATCAGGGTGAGAGAAGACACAGGAGCCTCCAAAATGCACTTAGCTCTACTTCTCAGGTTGCCAGGGGCAGAATCTGAGGTTTAACTCTAGCTCCTAAACTGCAGCAAAATCTAGTAGAATCTAGCTCCTAAACTGCCCATCTGCACAGTCATCATCCCTGAACACGTGAGAGAAAGACAGGGAAGGAAGTGGTGAGGTGATGCCTGTCCTGCCCTGGTACAGAGCACCCGGGAGTTGTCCTGGGGTTACAGAAATGAAGGGGAGGGCACATGGAGAGGCAGAAGACAGGAAGAGACAGCTGGCCTGGTTCCTAAGCAGAGATGTTCTCCCCACAACCCATCGTCTGAGAACCCCAGTGCTCGTCCCACCTTCCTGTAAGTAACAGCTTCATGGGTGCACTGGACCCTGATGAAATGCTCGCCACGTGGGCCTGAGCTCGGACTGTTGCAAACTTTGTATCCATTTCCTCTAAGTATCCCAGACTTCCTGTCTTGACAAGATGTCCTGACATCCCAGAAAAGCCCTAATTGCGTGATTTTATGCAGAATAAAGGATAGATGTTAAGTGGAGACAATGTCGACAACAGAGGTTTTTCTTCATTAGCTTGCACTCAAGAAGTGCTTCCCTATTCCCTTGAATAAAACCCCTTTAAAGCCCATGATCCATAGTGGCTTGGAAGATACTAGCATCTCCCTAGACTGGGTGAGTAGCCCCGAACATCCCTTTTGCCCTGGTTAAGTTTCCCTCTATCTAGGCTTCTAGGGGTTCTTGTTTCCTCCAACATGGAGCTCTGGAAAAGAAGGATGACAGAAGTCAGTTGCAAATTAGCAGAGGGATCTGGCATGGGGAGGGGGGGGGGCTTAAAAAACAGGAAAAGAAGAACTCAAAGAAAAGTTTGGAGGGCTTTCAACACAAACTCGAAGGAGGTGATTAGCCCAGGGACAGAAGGAAGGCATCTGGACAGGACAAGGTGTGAGAAGGGGAGAAAACACGGACTTCTAAGGGGATAACCTGGCACCAGTGAGGATGTGAGCGAGTCCGTGATGGAGCAGAGGTGGGACGCGGAGGTGAAGAGTATGAAAAGAATTTGGCCTCGTCTTATTCCTACATCCCTGGGGAAAGGGTGCGGGCCACAGAGGTGGCAATGAAAGAAGCCCACATTGTATATTTTTATAGACTAGCCTAGCCTGAGTATACGCACATCCAGATCTCTGTCCTAAAGCCTACTGGAGATTTCTTTGGCCTGCTAAGCACGAGCATCTAGTAACACTACTAGCACATTCCCCTGGTGTTTACTGTCAGTTATCCTGCTTTTATTTCCCCTCTACATTCCCCTTAAGGTGCTGCTGAATTGGAATTTACGACTTTCCCCATAATGCAAGTTAATTTTCTGTTCTAGCTCACATCAGCCACAAAGTCACTGTCTTTCTAGAAGCCAGGATTGCTCTTAGTAACTCTTCCTCTCTCAGCAACAGCAGGCATGAGCTGATACCTCAGAGAACAAAATTATATTCTACCTTGATCTCAGTACCCCCCGTGGCCTCTTGGGAAAGCAGTGATTCAGCGATACATCCAAGGCATTTGGTTTGTTCTCATTTTAGAGCACTGCCTCTAATCTCTCAGATACGGCTGCCCATAAAGTTAATACACTCATTTGCCTCTGATAACCTCTAGTGATCAAACTATGAATGAAAAACAGTGTAATCCCTATCTTAGTTTATCCGTAATTTCAACAGCTTCCGATATGAAAGATTCAGTGACTTCTATGACTCACGAATGTCCCCGCTTCTCCCATAGTTACGAAACTGCTTCCAGTCACCCTCCGTGAAGTCAGTAAAACCTATCCTTTAACCCTGGATTCACAGAACAGTAGCCATGGCCAAGGACCTTAGAGATCACTCACCCCTCTTGACTAATATGGAACATGAGTCATAGAAAATCCTCAAATCTCTCTAATAGCTGAGGGCACCATGGGGGAGGGGGCGGCAGGCAGGTCCGCCTTCGCTCAGCCCCTCGCAGCTCTTCCTTCCACCATCAGAAATCTGCTCTCCCCGTAACCACCCACAGACCGTGCCGGCTCCGCCTCCCTTAAAACAGCCTTCCTACTGTCCGCAGACCGCTGCCAGGTCCTCCCTTCTCCCAGCTCCTCCAGGCCTCCAGCCCTTAACTCTCGGACTTGCTTTCTCTCAGCTCTTCAACACCATCTTGTGGAGGAATTCAGCCCGGCTCCTGCATCATCCGCCTTCAAGCTCCACGGTAACTGGTGGTGAGCATGGGAGGCCCTGCTCAAGAGACAGCAAGAGGCTGTGGAAAAGCAAGGCAGGCCAGAGCGCGGCGTACCCAGGGCAGTCCTGAAGGCGGGGACTGGCCACTCTCGTACCATAGCTCCCTTCCCTTTACTGGGGTCTCACTGCCTCATCAGAGAAAGCTCAGGCCCAGAAATTTTCTCCCTGCTTGCCTGCATTCTAGCAGTATAACCTTGGAGACCTGTCTTCTTACATATAAAAGTTGAGGGGCGCCTGGGTGGCTCAGTTGGTTAAGCATCCAACTTTTGGTTTCAGCTCAGAGGTCATGATCTTATGGTTCATGGGTTTGAGCCCTGTGTTGGGCTCTGCTCTGCCAATGTAGAGCCTGCTTGAGATTCTCTCCCTCTGTCTCTTCCCCTCTCACACACACACTCTCCCCCTCTCTCAAACTTTAAAAGTTTAAACACAACAAAGTCCTTCAAAGTCAAAAATGGCTTCTGGCGGGGCACATGGGTGGCTCAGTCAGTTAAGCACCAGACTTCAGCTCAGGTCATGATCTCACAGTTCATGAGACTGAGCTCCACATCGGGCTCTGTGCTGACAGCTCAGAGCCTGGAGCCTGCTTCGGATTCTGTGTCTCGCTCTCTCGCTCCGTTCCTCCCTGGCGCACACTCTGTCTCTCTCAAAAATAAACATTTTTTAAAAATGGCTTCTGGTTACCAGCCACCAGTGTTCCGTCTCACGGTTTGTCGTTAAATATCAAAAAAAGATGATCAGGTGCCTGGGTGGCTCAATCAGTTAAATATCAAAAATGATGAAAGGAGCACCAAAAACAGAC